ATAGAGAGTCTGCTAATATGTAGAAAATACACATAATTTTCTCCCCTACGACTGGGAATATTTCTTCTTTTCGGGGGTGGGGGGGGGGAAGAAAATTTTCTGGGGGAAATTCCTCTCCCCCCCCCAACCGTAGTCCACTTTAACTACGTTTGTCTCTCTTCATTAGTACGATGGGCTAACAGCTCATTCTCTTACGTTCAGTAATGAATACGGGAATATCTTTACATTTTATCATCCAATTTACCATCCAATCAATCCAATTGAAATGTAAGTTGTAAATCACAATATATAATTATTTATAGGACCCAACAATACATTAGCTCTTTAAATTTTTGTGCATCTTTAGTTACCTGATGTTTATGTTAAGGGATTGAATTTAAATATAGTGTACAGGTAAATCTAGGCTATATTATGCATCTGACAATGATGACGACGACGATGATGATGATTAGTATGATCATGTTGGTGGTGATGATGTTGATGACGATAACAATGGTAATGATATGCTGATGATGATGATAATAATGACGATGATGCCGCCGCCGGCGACGACAGGAATGACGATAGTGATGGCGACGACTACGACGATGATGATGATGTTGATGATAATGATGATTGTGGTGATGATGATGACGATAATGACGATGATATATTAATGATAATGACGATGATACGACGATGAAGTAAAATTATGACGAGAATGACGATACGGCAATGACGAAAATTAAGACGACGATAAGTTTGATAATGGTTATGATGATGATGGTGATAAGGTTTATGATGATGATTATAATGATGAGGATAATGATGAACATCATGGTTCTGATGTTTTTATTTTTTTTTAAATTGAAGATGAAGATTACGATTACGATTACTGTACTGCAGTGAAAAGAAACCTTAGTGCACAAAACCATTCATAGTGCTACAGAAACAAGAGCATTGTATTACCTTATAATTTCCTCGTATTAATACAGTAAATGATTCAGGGAGTGCTAAAAGGGCGATCACCCCCCTCTCAGCCAGAAATCTATAAAGCGTGAACTTATACTGTATATTCAAATGGCTAAAACACAGTACGGTAGCTTTCAGAGAATATAACTCCTGGATCCCAACAATGTTAAGGGAGTACCATACCAGCGCCCCCACCATCATACTTCGCCCCCCACCCCCTCATCCACTCACAACATAGGTCTTCCGTTGGCACTTTTTTGGATGCACCTCTGTTGTTATATCTTGTGCTGACTAATTGGCAATCAAATATGGAATAGTAATGCAACTGTACTTACCGTATCTTGTGGGGCTAAAGCTAGCTGTATGGTAATTTTTGTATTAAACTACAATACCATAACATTCATCTTAGGCCAGTGCCATTTTAGACGTTCTTATATTTCAACTTTATATTTTATTTTAAAGCCCCACTTTCAGCCCCCCTTTCGAACGTCTCTGGATCCGCCCCTGTGGTCAGTTTTTTAATTTATTGACAATCTGGAAATTTAACTGAAAATTAAACGCAAATTTACGGACAAAATAGTACCGACTCTAATATTAATTGCAAAGAATTCTGAATTAGAAATACGAAATATACCCTATTGTTTTAATTCCTTAGGGCTCCATCTGTTTATGTAAGGTGTTAATTTTGAATTAATAATTAGGCCAAAAAAATGTGTTGGCTACGTTTTGGGAAAATCCAAAAAATGTGTATGTCGGTAGGGAAACTTTTTTTTTTTTTTTTTAACCAAAAATGTGTTTACGCTTAAAAAGTAGAAAATCACAAATAATACAATTTTGGATTCGCATCACATACCATGCACCAAAATCGACTAGGCCTTGGCCCTAAGCCCAGTCCAAGGCTGTTCCAGCCTTCTTAGCTCATGAAAGAATATATTGTGCCTTGCTGTAGTCAAAAATAAAATAAAATGAAATGCCGACCCCGAATTTCGTAAAATTTGGGTCGGTCGGGCGTGGCCAACACAATAATTTTTTTTATTTGGCCTTAGAACGAGAAAATATTTTCCTCTCTAATTAACGAACATATATTAGCATGTGTTTGCATAGAGATAAATGGTTTGAAAACAGTTTTAAATTGTGTGTAGTAATACAGTAAATGAAAACTGAATTGTTTTCATATGTTTTATATGGAAGTTGATAACAATTTGGTTTGAACTATTTCAACGTGTAACTTAGGTCAAATAAGAAATAAATCTATTAGAAATGTATCCTGAATTTTTACAATGTGCTCTATAGTTTGTAGTATCGTATCCAAACATATAGGTCTATGCTCTCATAATACAGTAAATTCGATTGTCGTAATTATATAAGAGCCCATTGGATAGGTAGGACTCATTCTCGGCCAACAACAAATGCAAGCCTTTACTCTTGTGATTTTGTCAAGTAAGGGAATAAAATGTGACACAGGGCAATTTTCTTTATGTGTTTACTTGCTACATGGAAAATATCTTCCATTAAACATAAAAACTCAGTTTATCAACAAAATGATCATAATAGGGGTTGATTTTTACTTCGGGGTATGTAGGAGTTGAATCAAGAAAAACTCCAAATGCCAAATTAAGACACAATAAAATGCAAATTATGGGAGTGCCATTTTCAGGCATGTAAATGTGTCACATTCTTAGAAATTGCTCACCTCAGCATAACCCCTAATGGGTGTGTGTCGACTTTTATAAGCCAACAGTAACTCCGTCACTTATGGGAATGCGACATTTTTAGTGTCAAAACTAGACACTAGTTTCAAAAAAGGTTGACAACCAGAGTTATAAGTCCTACTAATTTCAATAAACATTTCATTCTGTATCATTGGATTGTTATATTGTTATGTTTGTAATATTTCAAAGTGATATGGCATAAACTGAACATTTAGGTAGAGTTGTCCAATCTAGATACATTTAAGCTTACAGGACGGCATGTCATAAACAGAAGAATGTCTTACAAAAGTGCCTAATGAACCTTAATGTAACAGGTGCTTTGCTAATGCACGACACATTGATTTTTACTTGACGTGCTATGACCTTTGTGAACGGTGAAAATTGTATGAGCTTAGAAAATCTATTTCTGTTAACTCTTAAGATAGAAGCATTTAATTAATTCAATACGGTATACACTTGTGAGAATTTCCGTATGCGTCATATTAGAGCCGATGGACAAAAAAAAAACAAAAAAAAAAACAATGTGTAGGCCTAGCCTTATTTTAATTATCACCTTTAAGTGGTTACATTTCGTTTGGACGCCATCATATCAGTTCTTCCCAAGATGGCATATAATCTACATTATTAGAAAATTCCATTGAATGTAATGCTTCATTTTATCTGAATAAATATACATTGTCTGGTAAATAAATCAGTTTTTATTCATTTACTGTTTAGTGTTGTTGGTGGATTATGGTTAGTTGATTATTGATTGAAAATTGAATGGTTTGGTATGGTTAGTTCGTTAATTGATAGATTTGCTGGTTGAATGATTGATTGGTTGTTTGATTAATTGATCGATTGATTGATTGATTGATTGATAAATTGAAAGATTGATTGGTTGGTTGGTTGGATGGTTTGTTGATTGGTTACGGTAGTTTGTCTAAATAGTTGATTGACTGATTGATTAATTGATTGGTTATATGCAATGCATCGAAAACTAGCGTTGCTTCATGCATGCAAAGGTGTGAATTGAGTTGCTTCTACTCAGATTTGAAATCCTAACTAAAACCCAGTACCCAGTTGGTTGAGGCGTATGCATAGATAGCAAAATGTTTCGGGTTCGAACACCGGTTGGAGAAACGTTTCTTTTCTTCCACACTCGTAGATTTCTTTTAATTAATTTTCAACATTTATATTTAACATAAAAAATGTATAGTATATTTTCGGAGATACCACCTTGCCGTTTAAAATGCTTAAGGTGAGGGTGTATCATGTTAATTTCTGCTTCATGTTCGCATCTTAACCAACTGAGCCACTTGCCTTCATTGATTCGAATCCGAATTGGAAACAACCTATTCCCTATCTTCATATT